ATTACCTGGCTCGGGAACTATTTCATTCCAGATTTCTTGTCATGTGCATTGGGCAGCGTCCTAATTGTTTAAACAGTGGTTTGTTGGACTTTGGGTTCTGTCTCTACAGCTGAGAGCCTCGTCTCCCTCTGCTGTAAGAACCTCAGGAGCAGAGAGTGTCTTTATGCATCCATTCGCTCTGTGGTGCTCGGCATACCGCCTGTATGTAAGCAGCACTCAGTATACATTTGAGCAGCTAAAACAAACCCTGCTTTGATTTGCTTTCTTGCTGGCGAGTCTCAGAAAGGGCCAAAGGCACGGACCCCTTGGAAATAACCTGGCTTTATTTAACCTCAGACTAGAGTTAACTTTAACTTGAGAATTGATTAAATGTAAAGACTCACGTAGGATACTTCCAATCCATGGGGGGAGGGGGCTTAATTGAACAGCTTAACCCCTTACGGCATCAACGTCACGAACTCCCTGTGTTTGGGCTCTAGTGACAAGAATCGTGAGTTTAACTTAATCTAGTCACTTTGACAAAATAATATTTATTTAGTGGATCACCACTTTATCCTATTTTTACAGGTAGTACTTATTATCATCCTTTTTGAATCTGTAATATTGTAGACTCCACAAACACATTTAGTATCCAATTCTCTACAGTAGGGATCATCTTCAAATTGGATCAATTCCACGTTGAGGTCTATTTCAGGCATATTTTGCTCAAAACTCAGTCCACGGGCCAAATTCTGCCCACCCCCCCCTAACCCCCCGCCCAAAGAATTGAGACATGGACCACCAAAATAATTTGTAATGAAAACATTATCATATCTAGAAGAATCCATGTTCATTTCTAATATCTTCCTTCGCAATTACCTTTAGCAGGAATATGCTTTTTAATAAAAAAAAAAAAAGTGTTGTTTTCATGATTATTTTAATTAGAGAGGCTTGGCTGAGAATTATTAATTTAACATCACTTAAAAAATTCCAAGTGAAAATATAAACTAGTTGAATTAAGTAACCATAAGCCTTGATTTGGTTTGCTTATTTTTCACCAATTAAAATACGCTGAATTAAGACACATTTATCTTTTATTACTAGTAATTTTAACACTTTTGGCTTTGAATTTCATATATCCCAAGGAAATGTTTACTTTTTAAAAATTAAATAGGTATTGAAAAACACCTATATACAGAATAAATGCTACGGTGTCCCCTTTTCATCTTAAATTTATTGAAAGGACATCGAAAGTTAGTTTTAGGTCTTACGCAAAACCCTATTGTGAAGAAAAATTTTGGCGTTAAAAAAGGTATTTTCAGATGCATAAAATATCACCTGGAGATCTCCATATTAAACTGTGAACAAAGGTTTACTTCTGGAAAGCAGTGTAGAATGACAACGGTTACATACTTCTTTATGGACTCGTGTATTCCTTGTGTAATTAGAACTCGACCTATAGAAATTCTGTTTACGTGGACGGGCGCACACGAGAACGCTGCTCTGCATCCCAGCCACTTACACTGATAGATGTGGAGGAAGGTGTCGCTGAGCTTGTTGGTGAAGAGAGGCTCTGGGAGGTCACGGAAGAACTGCTTCACCATGTCCGCTACGTCGTAAGCGGACTGGTCCTCGTAGCTGACGTTCTCGGGGAAGTTCTCGTTCATTTGACGTAAGGCGTGGATTCGAGACTTCACACCCGATTTTCGAAAAAGACCCACCTGGAACAAGTCACGGGGAGAAGTTAGCGAGATCACCTTTGCCCAAAGTCGGTAACCTTGGGGACTGATGAGAAGGTACCGGACCAGGGCTGGAAAAGCAGCAATTACATTCAAACTGAGAAACTGTGAATGACTAGTTTAGCTACTGTGGGTAGCAGCTGAAGAGATGGCTCTTCCGTAAGATAAAGATAAAAATGATAGTACCCCACTTCCCAGGCCGATTGTGGAGACTGAGTGAGAAAAAAATGTGACTATGCTATGTAACCTGTAAAGTCTTACAGCACAGTAGACATGACTATTTTATTCATTTATTCAGTAAGTAATGATTAAATACCCACTATATATCGAGAGTGCTCACAGTTGCTGGGGTCACCGGGGAGCAGACAGGACTAAATTCCCCACCAGCGCTAGTGTTTACAGTTGGGGCTGAGAAAGTTGGTGGAAGATTTGGTGGATCCCAGATAAGCCTCCATGTCCAGCGTCCTTTTGGGAATGAGGATTATAGGAAATACGCTCATGAAACAAAACAATACATGAGCATGTATTTTAAGCATCTTATTTGCTTTTCCTTCTTCAGAATCCTTGTACCACTCGCTACGTCCGTTTCTCCTGGGATGCCTGGCGCTTACGACTCCATCCGGTTAGTCGTTTGTTATGTGCCTATGTTCTGGCTCTAGTGAGAATGATTCCTGAGAGGCTTTCTTCAGACTTCGAGACATTGTCTTCTGCCTTTCTCATCCCTAAGCCTTAGGCTCCTCCCCCCGTTTGACAAAGAAACGAAGCAATAAGACACCAAGGAAATGACGCCTCTGAGTGAGGTGGGGTGCAAGGCCCATGAGTCTGGAGGTTCCTGCCCCCAAAACTGAACTTCCCTGGGAACCTGTGCCTGCTGTTTTTAAATGCCCATAGGGCATCGAGTTGCTCAAAACTCTGTCCTTCAATGCTCCTTTTACAGTTTTCTTACTCGCCAAGGGGCTTACGGGTTGGTCCACTTCCGAAAAGCAAGGCGGGAACATTCGCGAACGGCCAGACAGGTAAGCAGCGGCCCCTTCTCCCTAAACCTGGAGAATTGTTTTAATTTGCAGTAACAGCAAGGGAAGAATTCCAAGCAATTAGAGAATACTCAGGTTTTTGTCTCTGTCAGCTGAATGGCTCACAGGGGAAATGATATCCTGCTACTTTTTGTGACAATAAAAACAGAATTCTTTGTAATACGTCTTCGCATTTTAAGGTTTATCGCCCTAATTCCTCAGATCAGGATATTCAGGCATATCGTCACTTAAAACGTTAACCGCTTTCCTTTTAATCCTTAAACTTTGGAACGTCTAGAAAATGCAACCCTTTGCCATACTTAGGTGACCGTCCAAGAAGAATCTAAAAAGCGTTTCTCTTCCTCTGGCAACTACCCCACATTTCATCCAAGTAAATGCGAAGAAGGCACGTACTGTCACTAGAAAAATCCAAGCTATCAAATGAGTGATTATTGAAGCGGGATCCAGCCTGAATTGTTTACGTTTCAACTCTTCCAACTGTGGAAGGAGGCTCAGGCCCGAGGCTCAGGCCGGGCAGTGGGCTGTGCTGCCTGGGAGTTCTCAGAATCTACGAGCCCCGAGGGCGAATTCTTAAGTGTGACTCACAAACATTTATCCTCATGTGAGTTATTCGGTCTGAGAATTCCTGTTATTATTATTTTTTAACAGCAGAGAACTATCGATCGGGATCTATAAAAAGAATAAAGCAGACAAGCGTTCCTGTGAAAATTGCTAAGTGCAGTTCCTCTCTGGTCCACCGCGTCTTTGGGGCACGCTGATGTGCATGTTTACACATACGAGCGATGTTTTGGGGTGCGCTGATACGCGTGTTTACACATACAAGTGATGTTTTCTCTGTATTGTTCTGTTTCCAACTTTCTACTTTCAGCAAATATTATTATTTTAATTATTCTAGAAATGTCTGGAGCACTCCAGCTGTGGGCTCCAAGCTGCTTATTCTGACAGATCTCACAGGATGTGAGGGTTGTCAGGTATATTTGTTTGTTCGGCCCCAAATTCTGACAATAACCTTCCCGTCCCGCCCTCACTTTCCAAGGTTCGTGGGAAATATGTGTGGGTTCTATGGATTTTCCTTGGAAGCACAGAAGGAAATTTCTTTCCCAAACCTAATAAAGAAAAGGTAGAGTGAAGTCAGACCAGAGTCCAGCAGATTCCAGATGTCATGGCCGAGGATAGCAGAAGGGAAAGGTGGAAAGAACCCCAGTCTTTGAAAATGCCCCCGAGCTGATGGAAGAATGGCCCCTGGCACCGCCCTACTTCCTGACTTCCGGTGTGAGCTCGTGAGTTTCCTACTGCTCCAGCCACTTGGGGACAGGCTTCTGTTACTTTCAGGGGACAACTCCCTGCATGCAGTGAGTGGGCGTGTCTTTTAATGGTGCCGAGGTCCTTACACCAGAGTGGAAAACTCCCACCTGCGTCCACAGAACGATCCTGGGCGGTGGCAAGATTGAGCGCTGATAATCACTTCTTCTTTGAACCGTTTTCAAAGCAGTGATAAAATTTGCATTTTTGGCTAAAATAGTTTTTTTCTGAGTAAAAAGTGGAAAACCGAAGAAAGATTTAAAATCCATTGCTTCTAAGGGCACCCTCGTCATCACCACTGAAGGAGGTCACCCCGGACGCCTCAGCTTCATTAAGTGGACGTCAGGGACAAGTGCCTCCGTGTCTGTCACTGGTGGGCTGGCGACCTGGGTAGTCACACAGGGCCCCACGCTTGCTTTAACGCTCTGCTGTCATCATTTTGAAATTAACTTATGAACGAGGAATCTCACATTGACATTTTATAAATGACACCGCAGGCTCTACTCTCATTTACTTCTACAACACAGCTCAAACGTTCGCTCTGCAAGGGGAAGGATGTGGCCAGCAATGCAGAATTCATTTCGTCAGCATCTCTCTTGCACGCCGTCTCTCATCTTACAGGTCAAAGGATGCGTGGCGAGTGCTTCTCTGGTCTAGTTTTGCGTTCCTCTCTCTTCTGTCTTACACCTGAAAACCCGGCTATGAGAAAGCGAGCACAGAAGGTGTAACTGGAGAAGACAGGCTGCAGAGCCTCGCCCACGTCATCCGAGGTCGGCGACAGGGGCGGTGATGAGCAGGCAGTAAGTAGGTAGAGGGCACTTGTACGGAGTATGAAGTGTCTTCCCAGCATCGCTGGGCTTTTAAAACTTACTGCTGCCTTAGAAGAGGTCGGGTATGGATACTGCATTAGAATTCACACTTTGTCTAACTCATATTCAATCTCCTTCTTGGCGCTCTGTTCACGCTAATCCTTCCAGTAGTTGAGGATGTTTATCAGGACCTCCATTTTCTTTTCTTTAGAAATGTGCTCAGCTGACGACGAAAGGTTGGCTTTACGCGGGAAGACAGGGCGCTCGGAATGGCATGTGGTGGCTTCTGCTTTTGAGCACTGAAGGTTTGGCCTCCCCTTGCCGTGACCTCGTATTCATTACGAGCCGGGTAGAAACCACCCTTCCACGCGCAGTTGATTTAGGGCAGAAATAGCAGCTCAGCCAGCAAAGCGAGGCCCCTCTCACGTACTGCTGTATCTGAATACAAATGGTTCATCATTGAAAGCTAGACTTCCCCGTTTCATCTGCAGCCAGTCGCAAGGGCTAAAACGGACACGTGCTGCTTCGTCATCTATCAACCGCACCTGGGAGCGTAGGCGGTGAAACGTGGGCGGCGTTTCAGGGCTCTGTGCTCTATTGTTTGTGAGGAACGCTTGTGCTTCAGATGAGTGTTTAGCAGCAGGGGAAGGGGCCCAGCTCATGGCAGGACGCCTCCCCCGTCGCAGTCCGGGGCAAAGCCTCGGGAGAGTCCCAGATGGATGGTGGGGCCAGGGGACCGCGTGGAAGGAGACAGCACAACGGCCAGTCCCGTGAGGTTTAGAGGGAGGGTATTCTGAGACGGTCAGGCTCCTACGATGCTGGGGCTGAGCTCTTGAGATCCCGGGCACACCTAAACCTTGACAGGTCAGAGGGGAGAGACCATTGGCCTGGTGCCGTGTCCGCTCCCTCTTTCTTTTCTGATTCATTCATTTTTATTTGCTCTTGGTCGCCCTGAGGCCTCCAGGACAGCCACCCTCATGAGCCAGGATTCTCTGATTCTTCCTTACGTTTCTCTGGTTTTCCCTGGTTCTCTTCCTGTGACCATCTCATTCATCACAGGGCCCAGAGGGGTGGCTTCTAGGTGCTTTCCACACTCTGTGATGACGAAGGGGAGGGACACACAAGGCGGGAACTCCTGCTGGGGCTGAGTGCTTCATAAGGTGTGACCGGCGACGGTGAAGTCCCTTCGATGTCTCACAAATTCTTACTTTCGGCTGATGCGAGAGAGGGTTGCCTTATTCATTTTGGTTACATTTCGAATCGGTATTTATGTCCTTGCAAGGAGTCTTTTTCCTACAAAGCTTTGCCAGCATCCTGTGTGTCAGTGTGGCATTTTTCCAGATTTAAAAAGAAAAAAATAGTTATGAGTTTGCTATGGGGATTGGGCATAATAAGCCACTGAGTAGGGATCGAGGTGGTTTCGGTGCCCACTGTCTTCTCTATTCATACGACTTTTGCTTCCAACAGGAGCCTGGACCCAATAACAGTGGTGACACTGGTGCTTCAGAACCTCTACGGGGCACGGCTGGTCCCCAGTCTACACTGCCAACAATGGGTGAGCAGAGCAGTAGGTGACAATTCATTCATTTATACCTGATCTTGATCGGAGAGGAGGTCCAGGTGAGCTACAATGATCTATAAAGTGCAACGAGGTCCAATTAAATTAAAGAGGATAGATAAGAAAATTAGAGTTAAAAAAAAAATAAAGATAGAAAAGGGTAGCTGAAACTAGGAATAAGGTAGACACACAACATTCAAGCCGAGAAATCACATGTATTTTCTACAGGCAGAACACATATTGGGCTTCAATATTTCCAGCAGCTAATATAGCGAGGAAAACATATCCAGTCGAATAAGTCTGGTTGTATTAAATATAGAAAAACAGATGGGTTGTCCAAAAACAACAAGATGCTTTCAGATGCTGGGGCCAGAGAAAAAATTCTTTCATTCTCACAAAGGACACTATGTAATATAATGATCGACATCCTCAACAAAATCCTGATGGTGAATTCATCCGTGAGCTGTTTAGGGCCACTTCTCTAAGTGACCCTCAGTGCTGGACATGGCATCATCCCAAAGTCCGCTAGGGATAAGCAATTCCAGTGGGTGGTAGGTAGTAGGGTGAGGTGGTTAAAAACTTGGACTCTGGAGCCAGGCAGATTTTCAAGCAAGTGTTGGCTCCGCCATCGCTACCTAGGAGATAATACCACCTGGGGGTGGGTGCGGGGAGGATGTGGGGTTAAATGAGACAATGTATGCAAAGCACTTAGCATAATCCCTGAAACTTGCTAGGCACTCAAGAAAGGATCTCGTTATTGAACTAATGGCCCAGATGTGGCCTGAATTTCCTGTAGACATTCCTGAACAAAGACTGTTTTCTCTTAATAGAGTTTTTGCTGATAAGTGTTAGCTGGCCATTCATTAGAATGTCTGGAACAAAATATTTTCTGTGCTTGGTAAGACACACAGCCAAAGACTCTAAGAGAATCAGCCATGAGGGGGAATGAGTCTTATGTATCCTTATGAAAATGAAGAAGCTTGGAAAAACACATGTCTGAATAAGGCCACCCTCCATAAAACACAGTCTTGACTTTGTACTAACAAACCGACAAAAATACAATTGCGACCACAAAGTCCTCTGCCAAAGGGCACGGGTGTAGTACTTTTAGGGCTGTAAAAGGAATTACAGGGTCATTTCCAAATACTCACCTGAGCCCACCCCTCCAGAAAGTTTTCTCGGTAAAATACCCATAGATTATCTATGTGTGTTTTTGGTAAAGGCTCTAAAATTTAAAAAAATAAAATAAAAACGTAAAGCTTAAGTAATCAGATTCATTGGTTTGCTCTATTAGGATGTTACCCACAAGTCTATGTTGGGGCTTCTGCCTAAGGTGAGCCCCACAGTTTCAGACATGTGGTCTGCTACCCCTTCTTTCCGAGAAATAACAGCCATGCTCTTACGGCCATTTCTCAGAACGAGACAGCCATCACCACAGTGGCAAAAACAGCGACCACGCCTGCTGTCCACTATGACATCTAAACGTGGAAATGCATCTACCTGTATGTTCTCTATATCAGGAGTGGGAAGGGAAAAGGGATCACGCATTTGGTTGATGCGAAGCTTGCTTCCAATGAAAAAGTTAAACCTATCTTGCTCCACGGAAAACTGGGATCTGATTCATCAGGAGCCCATCCCAATTCTGAGTGCGATCTAGGGATTGGGGTAGGTACCAGCATCGGTAGGCGGGATATTTGAGTTCTTGTAGCTTAGCTCGTTCCTGTCTGTCCACTGAGCCCAATCAATAAAAAGTGCAAATAATCCAGGTTTTATCACATGGTATCAAAGAGTATGATGAACAAAAGCCATCAGAGAATAGTTGCCTGAAAAGCCCCCCACTGCTCAAGGTTGCCGTTTATCAAGTGGGAGCACGGCTTTTATTTTGGAAAGAATGTCAAAGAAATTAATGAGTGTTAGCTTGGAGGCACGAAGATTTGGTCTACTAAGTTGTAGGATGTGTCACATTCTGGGCCCGATCACTGCAGAGGTCCCCAAACAGTATCTCGGAGACAGAAAATGATCTCCAAATACTGTGTTTAGCTTGAGCTTTTTAATCAGCTCTACAAGACGAGGGGATATTCAATTCAACTGACATCGTTTTCATATTTGACCTGCCCATTTTAAAGCATTGTAAATAATATCGCCTTGGCTTTAAGTTTTCCTGGTCACGGTGTTGCTCCAAAAAAAAAAAAAAAAAATTAATAAAGGGAAATATAAAACCCAATTCTCTTTTCAAGAAAATAAAACAGGGCTAAAAAGAATGTCGTGAATTGATGGCTGCACTGAGACAATAATTACAAAGGAAATGCAGTCAATAGTTTCTAGGAAATGCGAATTGGACCTCGCAGCTGCAAACTATTAACATTGACTCTGTGCGGCCCCTCCGGGGTGTCATTCACAGTGCCGATGAGGAAATAGCTTCAAATAGCTTGACAGGGATGCAGCCCCCTCCAATGGAGTATCAACCTGTAAAGTCACGATGCCTTTTATTTTGGGTGCGGCGTGTCCCCGTCTGACGCTGGACGGATGCGACCTGCCAGCGTACCACGAATCCCGGCCCGCGTCTGGGCACACTCCCACCATACCTGATCGAGGCAGTTGCTGCGTAGATATCTCAGGGCTTGCTGAATGCTCTGAGGCAGGGGCTGGCCCGTTCTCTGGACGTGAACTATGAGAGGTACGCCAAAGACAGTCTTGTCTTTGTAATCAGGAACTTTCATCCTCTTCATGAACTTTGGAACCGACCTAGAATTCACAGAAACCAGGTCATCAAGCCTCCTGGGGCCCACCGTGGGGCGAGGCTGCGAAAGCAAGCAAGAGGGAAGCCAAGCTTTTGTTGGAATACCCAACAGACAACGGAGAGTCCAACATTTCTTTCTTAATTAATCACAGTCCATGGAAGTACTGTGTGTGCCGCTCGCCTGTGTTAGAACGCTAACTACTAAACAGCGTGATTCATGTTAGCAGATGGATTTATGGCTCTGTTTTGAAGTCGAGTGTTCGACTTTCTAATTTAATCGTGACTTACACACCTCTCAAGTAATAAACACTTAAAAGTCTCCAACGAGACACAACAGATTTAAAAAGTACAAGAAGAAGAATTAATTTGGTTGCATTGGGGGAGAAATGAGGGGAGAGAAGATCAAACACACTTCTTGGCTATGATTTTCTAGAACCAGTTGTACTTTTTAAAGGAAATTTTAATACGCAAGCATATATTAATGCTTGATTATGCAACTTAGAACTTTCTAAATTTTTTTTTTAATAAAAGCATCGCCAATTCTTCTACCTATATAATATGCACCATGGGACAATTAGTGACACATTTCATCTTTTTTTAAATCCACCAAATCGCCTGAAACGGGTCCACATTTGAATTCCAACATACGCTTTAGTCAGTTCCTATTACAAAGGTTTGACTGCACCGTCTTATTTTGATTTGCCAGTGAAATAAAAGCGGACATGGACTTGAAGAACTAAATGCTCTTTGAATGAATCAGCGCTCTGAGTGTCGAGCCCTGCGTCGGCCTGAAGGTACAAATGACAGATGTTTCCTTGCAAACGGCCAGAATTATTTACGGTGAGTTTATTTTTAATTCCTCTGTTCATAATTAATCACCCTTTACTTGTCTTTTGTCCTTCTTGGAGGCTGTCTTCCCCGAACACCAACAGAGAGCTACAAATAAAACCATGCTTCCTGCAGGCTGTTCCCCCGCCCCCTGCCCCGGCTGAGGCAGCCCGGGAGGCGGACTAAAAGGCGGGACTCTGGGCATTATTTTCAGGAGGTCAGCAGCGAGGGCAACGAAAGGCTTCTTCAGAAATCAGAAAGCAAATACGGAAGCCTTTGCAAATAGCACACTTAGCTCTAGGACAAACAAAGCCCTCCCGAGCGAACGTGCAGAATGGGCTACGTACCACGTCCAGCCGTGTTTGTTGGACATGGAGTGTTTTTCCATGATGGCCGTGAGGCGAAGCAGGGAGAAACGCTGGAGCAGGTTCAGCTGGCCGGCCGTCTGGCTGCTGATGGGGGGCGATGCAGTGGACGGCTGGGGCTGGTGGGAGAGCTGGAAGCTGTTCCATCGGAGTCGCCTTGACCAGAAAGACCGTCAGAGACGCAGTCACAAAGTGGCCGTGGTACCGGGGAACACAGGAGGTCACTAATTTTTTAAGTAGCTCATCGAAATAGTTTCTGAGCCACAAAAAAAAATCACAAAGCAAATGGAACAGAAGACACAAATGTACAGAACAGACCTAAGGAACTATTTCCAAGTCTGATAAATCTGGAAAAGGGTCATTATCTGTTTCATTAGATTTAAATGACTTGTATAGTGTGTTGCATTTGTTTATTCCTAAATTCATTCCATGTTGAAAGCAGCTGAGACTGTGTGTGTGTGTGTGTGTGTGTGTGTGTGTGTGTGTGTTAGAGAGAGACAGACAGACACAGACAGACAGACAGATGGACAGAGAGAGACAGAAAGAGAGAGAAAGGGAGAGAGAGATTTCAAATGTTTGGTAGTTGTAGAATATTTCCACTTCGCCCTCCTGTCTCTGTACTCACTTCTTTGGTGTTGAGATGGAGCCTGAAGGTGACAAGCACAGATGAAGCAGTCCCGAAGTGATGACACATCAGTGAGTCCCAAGAGACATCACTGCCTCAACTAGAAACCCAGCAGCACACACGTTATTACTCTTTCTACGAGGGAGCCCTGCCCAGGGATATTTTTCTAGGGTGCTTCTGAAACGGTATTTGTAAAACAGCTTTTATGTACTTTGGAATCGGCGTTTTAAAGCCAAAATAAACTCATGAAGTACACACCTTAGATTTCAGAATTTTCTCACCGAATTTTTGAAAAGGTTTAACATTTGGGGTAGAGAGGTTTTAATGAATACTGTCTCAAGGTCGTGGGAAACACCTGTGTACAGGCCCTGGGCCTCTGTCATCAGAGATTCCCTACAGTGTCTTGCTATATAAGCTCAAATTTTTTTTTTTAATAAAACTAAGATTGAATTCAAGGGTAGACACTCAGAGAAATGAATGAGAGTTAACACGGATTCGACCACCATATTAACGGTACAAAAGACATCTGTTCAATGACTACTGGCCACATACATCACTTAGAACAGTGTCAGGCATTCGGTACCCACTCTCTAAATGTTTGCTAAATAAATGAAGAGATCATAATCATCCCGAAGTGGATTCAATATCCTTTCGGAAAATCACGCCACCAACCTGTTTGGCCTGGTCAGGGAGGCCCCTACGCCGGAATCTCTCCTTTCTCTGACGCCAGCGGCCTCGGACTCGTTAAGGGAGGTTGCGTCTCTGTCCACGTCACTGGGTGTTGTCCGCCCTTCGGAGACAGAGTTGCCTTCGAAATCCAGGGTGATCTGATTGGGGGATGAGAAGGGGCACGGGCCAGGTTTCCCCACCAAGGCGTCGCGCGTCTGCAGCTCAGGCAAGACGTTCTTTGACCAGTCATCCACCACCTCCTGGAGCCCGCTGACGTGGTGCAGGATGTCGTCTAAGTGAGGGAAGAGATCGTCCTTCTCCAAGTCCAAAAGGTCCCCGGTGCTGGCGTATAGATGGGAGCCCGGCACGTTGTCGTAGATACTGACCCGACTTGCTCTGTGGCAGGACGCCACGAGCCCAGGCTCCCTGGGGCCAGGGCCCTGCTGTCTGCCCAGGGAGATGCTACCAGTCCTCCAGTTCACCCCGTTGCTGTTGTCTGTCGGCGACAGGCTTTCGATGGACAGCGCCTTGGGGAACGTTCCTGGCTTGTGGTCCTTGGGCACGTGCACCACCAAGTTCTCCTGGGAATGATACTCCTGCGTGTGGTTTTCGTCGCCTGCCTCCCGCAGCGCGGTCCCCGCCAGCACATCCAGGTCTTCCAGGTACATGCCCCCGCGCTTGCTGGCCTCCTGGCCCTTGC